TTCGTGCCTGATGCTGCCAAAGCACTTTCAGGAGCACGGTTAGATTTGAGAGTCCCCTGGTTTGATACAATAATGAAGGAAATTCAAATCCTGGAAAATGATAGGCTGACCTGACTAACATCCAGTGACAAAGAGTGCAGAAAAAGTCAGGTTTGATAGGTAGGATATGAAATCACTAGGGATTGGTCGCAAAAATGAAACAGTAAAAGCAGGAGTTCAATAAATGCTTGTTTTATTGACTGCGCCGTCTCTCTACAATCCAAAGTATTGATCTATGTGCTTGAGGAAAGCAGAAAAAAAATTTAAATTATAACAAAATAGAAACAGGTAGAATATAGTTCTTGGGATAGATTGAAACAGGGATAACTAACTGCAAGTTAGGACTCACGATATAGATTTACACTAATTATTGTGGAATATATATGGTCGCATCATAATATCTCAGCCTTTCCTTCCTATTTGAGCATTTTGTGCTTCTTCAAAAAATCTTATATTTCAGCATTTAAAAAAATGTATATCCAAGAAATCAAACACAACTCAAAGACTATCTATTACACCGTCCAAACTGTCTGTGTAATCATAACGCTGGGTTTTGAAATTGTGTCTTTGCAGAAGCAGAAAGGCAAAATGGAAAATCCTTCATGCCCTACAAGATGCGTCCCATTAGGAGGACCAATCTTAGAACAAGAGAGATGCAGGAAAGAGAAGCCAACGCAAGGTTATCTCGTTGCCCATCAAGAAGTGAGTTCTGCAGGTGTCTGCTTCCAGGAACCACAGCATCATACCAGCGGGTTTATGCTCATTTTATGCTCTAGGCTTAACACTACTGGCAAGGATTCTGCTGCCAATCAGAGTTAAACCAGTACTCAGCACTAATGAATGATTCTTAAGGTTTTATGTGTGGAAGAGCTGTGGCCCAGCCCAAGCCAGTCAGTGGGGCCAGAGTGGCCTCCAGTGATTGACAATATTTTGGTTTTTATGCAAAGTTTCCTGCCGTGAATAATGAATTGCTTAGCTCCAGCAAGACACACGCAGCTGGGGAGGGAGTTGGCTTTGGAGGTAGAGAATTCATGTGTGTTAGACGTCTTTGCCCAGTGCTTAAAACATTGGTTGGTTCTTTCATCTACAAAGTGAGGCCAATAATACTTTGCAGGGTTCTTATGAAGCCTAAATGATTAAACATAAAAAAGTGACCACCTCAGGGTCTGGCATATATTTAGAACTCCATAAATTTTAGATATTTCGTTTTTTTCTCTCTGAGTGGAAAATGGTCTTAGATAAATGACTGCAAAGCTGATCTTTGTCTACCTAAAAGTAGAGACGGGCGTACCCTTGTAATCACATTAGCCCTTTTCCATTTTATTGTGGCCGGAGAGGTGGATGTCTGTTGGCCCTGCTGGCTTGAATCTGCATAATCGTTTTGATTTTATTTCAGTGAGGGAGCGCCGAGAAAGGCAGTCTTGGAGAAAATGCCAGACACTTGTGGCTGCTCAACTGATGTTAATTAACCCTCACTAGCAGCATTTTGGCAACAGACCTTGACTCCTGTGACCTTTCATGCTGGATTGAATTACTCTCCGATGTTTCCTTTTCTCAGCCAAACCCTTCAGAACCTCCTCTGGCTGTTGGCACAATTCCATGAGCACTACAGTTTCCTGAGAAGCCTGAAGCTGGCACCTTAAATGTGTTACTGCTAAATAAGTAGAATGTGAGACATTACATATCCAGTTTTGGTGATGGAAGATACCCAAGTAATTGTCATAAATATGCAAATATTCCCACCCTGAGCTCTGTGGAGGCTCAGGAGGATGGATTCAGGAGCGTCTTCTGCCTCCTGCCTGCAGTCCTTCATGAGCCTTGTGGTTATGCAGAAGGTCCACTCACCAGGACAAGGAACGTGGCTGGCAGAACGACTGCTTCTCTCAGAGGATCAGCAGCTTAAATTTGGTGCCTTGGGTAGCATCGGCTTTATGTTAATTTTTAGTCCTCCTTCACTTTTTCTCCTGCTGTTTATGAAAAGGTGTTTTATTATGTGATTTGATTCTGTTTGAAATGAAGGCAGTAGGAGTCCCAGAGCTGAAAGAAGATGCTGACGCTTGCAGCCCTCCTGGGTCTCCTTCTGCCTGAGATGACAGTGCCCAGGCCCCAGCTATGACAAGGAAGGAACATGTCAGGTTCTGATCGTCCTTTGCATCCCCACCACTGCATTTTCTTGTAGAATGTGTTTAGTGCAATTTAACATTCTACTGTAAAGACAATTTTCAAGAACTTGGTAATAATAGTTATTATTTTGTAATTGGAGGTTACTACTGTTACTCCTGTTAATGCATTTTCTTTCCTGAAAGGAGACAGCACTGTCACAACATGTCAAAATGGTCAGTTTACTTTTCTCTCTCCTTCACCGTATTTAATTTTTTCCCCATTGTTTCTGCATCACCTGGAACTGCGATGGGTACAGAGTAAACTGTTCAATAAATATTGGCTGGAGGAGTGAATGATGAGGTCCTACGAAATTAGCGGGACACAGATGACAGGGATGCAGCCAAATACTTACAGACTTAGGCTGGTGAAAAGTGGTATTATTTGCATGTGTTCTCCCCCACCTTCAACCTGCTCTTAGTTAACCGCATCATATCCTTTGGGGAAAATGAGTTTCTCAGGGAAGCCTTCTTTCATGCTATTTATCTTTTAAGCTTTATAAGTGCAGAGACCAAGGGGTTTTTGCCCAGCATTCTATTCCTGGCACTCAGTAGAGAGCCTGGCATATTACAGACACACAATAAATATTTGCTGAAAAATTACTCTACGTTCTGACTGCGCCTCTTTTCTCTACCTACTACCAAAGTGTCTAGACACTCATCACATTTCGTTTAGAACACTTCCGTGATCTTCCTGCCGGACTTTCATCCAGCCAGTCCACACTAGAATTGGATGCACACAGCTGCCAAAGTAATTTTCACCAAGCTGTGTTCACGCCATAAACTTCCTTAAGTCACCTTCAAATTCCTCCTATTTATTAACTTGTAAACAGGGACATTTAAGTTTTACACCAGTTGGTCGCCATTATCTTTTGAAATCTCGTTTCTCCATAGAAGTTCTTTGCACCACTCAAGCCATTTTTGCTTTGTCTTTAAATGTGTGCCTGCTTCTCTCTGGTTGTACCGACCATCTTGTCTTTCTCTCCGTCATGAAGGTTCAGGTCTTCAGAGTCATGCTTTTTTGCATATCCCATGTGCCTTACAGGTGTGGAAAAGACCCGGTACATGTTTTAGCTCTATGGAAGATGAGCCCTCAATATTAAACAAATAACATGAGGAAATGAAGCACACAGAGAGAGACTTGAAGTTATCCAACAATCTCCATGAAACTGTTAAATAAGCTGATCATAGGAATAAAGGCTTCCTTGACTCCAGCAGGGAAAAGGGGAGAAAAGGAGCAGAAAGTGGGGGTCCCCACAGTGCTGCGTCACTGCTGCTGCACTGATGCTCTGAGCTGGAGGAGGGATGGATGGAGGATGAGTCTTGGAAGTGAGTGGGGGCACCTGGGGGTAGTGGGGGTGGAAGATAAGTAAAGGCAGCTAAGGATGAGCTCAGCTATGTTCAATCAGCTGGTGGAAGTGAAGGGCCCGCAGCCTGGTGAGAATATCCAACTATTGTAGAAAGAAATCAGAAGTCTATCTTTGAAGTCTTGAGAAGTCCATCTTACTAAAACTAAATTGCCACTCAAGATGTGTGGTGATATCCATGGTCTATCCATCATGGTTTTTGCCTTTTTTAATATGATAGTTTGCCTCTGAAGACAGTTGGTTTTTTGAGACTATAAGATGATCTTACCCCTTTGTAGTCTTTGCCTTTAAGTGGTGTATTTAGATCATTCACATTTAAAGTGATTATTGATATAGTTTGCTTCATACCTGGCATGTTTGTAACTGTTTTCTGTCAGTTGTTATGTGGTCAGGCCATTCAAGATGACTGTTCTCTTGCTCTCTGTACATCACCTGCTCAACCAGTGCCTGCCTCACCTACAGCTACACACGCGACTGACCTTCCTACAGACTTGCCTCAGCCTCAGCTGGTAATTGTTCTAAGCTTTAGATCATAACATCTCTACCTATCAAAAGGGTGGTGAGGGGCGTGACCCTCTGCTAGTTTCCCTGGTAACTGATAAGCCAATCTGACATCAATTCCCCCTATAACTGGCAATCCTTCCCTCCTCTCTGGGAGCAAAGACTGCCGCCATGTCCTGCCTGCTATCTGCCACACGTAGTAGGGTGTACTTCCAGGACCTTGCTTCAGACATGTAAGTTCCCCCTACCCATTAAACCACTGATTTCTCTTTTACTGACCCTGGGCTCTTTCTTCGGGCTTGAAGCTGGGCAAATGGAGGCCTTACAGGCCTGCTGGCTGCAGCCCAACAATTGGTGGAACCGCCAGGAAAGCTAGGAAGCTCCTGTGAGCGCCGAAATGTCAGGAAACAAGAATGGGGAATGGAAAGTTGCAGGGGCCATCCACTAACATGTGTGGCCTGGAAGTTATGGGTGTAATTCTGAGGTGGCCGTCCACTAACACGTGTGGCCCAAAAGTTCCAGGGGTAACCCCGAAAGTTTCAGGGGTCATCCTGGGGTGGCCATCCAGGAATATGTGGGGCCCTGTGGTGGCTGTCCTTGGTGAGTGGGGGCCACCAAGAGAGTGCAAAGTCAGAGACTCCCCCTCCCCAGACTGTGGTGGAGATGTTGGCCGCCACTGCAGTGGGGAAATAAGTTAGGCAGTGGGGCAGTGGCCGCAGCTGCAGGGGGCCTGTTGCTTTTTGTATTAAGAAGGGCCACAGAGGCTGAGCTTACAGTCAAAGGGAAGGTTAACTTGAATGTGGATTCTTGTTCCTCTGAAAGTGAGGCATGTGAATGTGAGTGAATGATATGTATTATTGTCTATTACTGTTATTTGTTTAAACTGAATTGGCTATTTAGAAACTGAAAAAAATCCTGGAAAATGGCCAAGATGGGATTCTTTTGACATTCGAAAACTGGTTTTTGCATATGCCTTTGAGGAAGTTAGCTTTCTGGGAAGAATTGTTGGTATTTCTCTTCCTGTGCCTTTGAGATGTAAATGACCTACCTAGGCTCTCAAGAACTTTAATCACTTGTGATCCCTGAGAGTGAAAAAAAAAAGCATTATTAAACTCTAGCAGGAAAACAGATTTCTGTGTCTATGTAGATATATGGAGAGAATTCATTGACTATCTGGGTCATTTCAAATAGGATAATAAAATATTGGAACATTAACTTTTAGGCAGGTCTAAGTTTGCCTACCTTTGCCTTCTTGGGAGAGGAAGACCAAAGTATAAGTTTTCCAATCAGGAAATGCTGGTATGACAAATAATTTACAGTTACCTGCTTCTTGGCTTTTGCCAGAGATTAAGACTTTTAAGGATTAAGATTATAATCAGTCATAATTTTAGCTATAGTAACCAAGTTCCTTTACCAATTACATAGTAATCAGCTGTTTAATCATGCCTTTTGAAGTCTTTTTTCATTTATGGACAGTTACTCTCGTACTCTGATACTGTTGCAAACGTGCTTCATCTTCAAGAAGATTCATAGGAAGGATCTTTTGTCAAGTACAGGTGTCCGATAAATTTCAGGTCATACCGCTGAACAGGGAAAGGAAGTTAAAGAATCCTAATGGAAAACCTGATGGTTTCATAAAAAGTTCACAAGAGGACTGGCTACTGAGTGAACTGGTGAATATGGTTATAACTTTTATGGTTCTTGTCTGGGATATTACTGGTTTTGATCTGTGTTTTTTAGATATAGGGAAGCCCCTCCCCTCAAGTTAGTTGTGACTTACAGCAATTTGGTAAACTTCACCTGTGGGTACAACTGAAGCATTTTCTTTTCTCTCTGCCTACTCCCTCCAGAAATTAGAGACTTTTGGGTTCCAAGCAGTCTTTTCCGGTGAATGAAATAGACTGTCTCTTAACGTGCAGTAATCTCAATATTTGGGGGATCTCTAGAAGAGAGAAATCCACTGAAGCAGTGTGATGGGCAGGCCTTTGGCATGGCTTTCCTGGCCTTGAGAGGTCTTTTAGGAATTCAGTCCTTCTGAGGAATTCCACCACAGCCAGTTTGGAGCAGTCTATGTGGTTGATTGACCAGACTTATTTTGTAAACAAATTAGTATTGATTTGGCTGAGTTTGGTGGAGATGAGGGTAATTTTAGGGAGAAAGAATTAGTATACTTCAGTGGATATTAAATTCTAGGTCTGCTAATGGAGGTCTGTATGTATGAAAGTTATTGTGTTAGCCAGACTTCTGCCCTGATGTTCAGGATGGAAAGAAAATTCTCTAAGTGAAGTTGAAACAGAGAATAACTACTCATGAAGTGTAACACTGCTTGCTTGAAGTCTGCTGCTAAAAGCACATGTACAATGCTTGTGCAACAATTCGGTTTAATTGATAAAATATATAGCCTGTAAAATGTTTCCCCGTCAGAGTACTTCTGAGCTTGCTCAGGGTGTGGTATTGTCTCAGGATGCAGTTACTGCTTGTATTTGCTTAATTGTCCTGGTCTCCCCTGTGTTGCGCCTGTTAGATTAGATGTCTTACGTTTTGTTCCGCTCCTGAGTGGGGGACATCTCTATGAGGACTGAGCAACGACAATAGCCTCATTGTGAAATGAGTCTAATTGCTGGTAAAAGAAGTCTAGAGCGAGATGCCTGGTCTTCTTCAGAGTCCGTGAATAATTGACTGGCTAATGTGACTATGTGGGGAGGACTGACGGTGAGGGGGAAAGACTCTTACCATCTTCCTGTCCTGCATGCCAATATGTCAGAAGGACCCTTGTTGATAAATGATACTGTATAACACATCGTACACTTTGCCAGGGTGACTGGCTATGAGCCTGTGTGGGCTATGCTGTGTGGAGTGGAATAGACTGGCTTCTGAACACACAAGTCCCAACTAGCATGATTAACTATTTTTTTGTTTGGAAAGACCTAATTGGTCCACCCCTAATGGCGCCCAACATAACATGGGGTAGCAGACCTATATTGTGACTGCTGACTCCTGGCTCGGCCACCAGAATGTTTCTTTTAGAACAACACATGGGGGTTTCTCTGGGTTTGTGAAAACCAGGGGTGGCCTTACCTTCCTTATAACTGGACAGGGTGCCACTGCCATTGACTCCCTCTCTATTGACCTGGTAGGTGCTCATCTCCAAAATTTGCCCACATCCTGGAAAATGACTGCTGTTAGCCTACAAGGTATCTTATTCTTGATACTCTTGGCTGCTGCTGTGTGTATTGTATTTGTGGTATCTGGTTGCAGTGCCCACCAACACACCTGACACATGGAAGAGGGATAGAGCAAGGTTGTAAGGGTTGTACAGGGAATGTAGGGGTGGAGTGAATGATCAGGCCACTAAATATGGCTGTTCTCTTGCTCTCTGTGCATCCCCTGCTCGACCAGTGCCTGCTTCACCTACACCTGCTTACGTTACTGACCTTCCTACATACTTGCCTCTGGCCCTAGCTAGTCATTGTTCTGATCTAAAGATCGGATCAGGTCAGAGATCTGATTTTCTAAAGATCAGAACATCTCCACTATGATAGCTTTTCCAAGGGGGTGATGAGGGGTGTGCCCCTCTGGTAGTTTCCCTGGTAATTGATAAGCCAACCTGACGTCAATTCTCCCATAACAGGTAAGTTCCCGCCCTCCCCCCTCACCAGGAGCAAAGACCATCACCATGTCCTGCCCACCGTCAACTGCACCCGGGGTGGGGGGGTGTCATTCCAGGATCTTGCTTCAGACATACAAGCTCCTGTATCCATTAAACCACTGATGTCTCTGTTGCTGACTCCAGGCTCTTTCTTGGCCTTGGAGCTGGGCCCACACAGGGCTTGCAGGCCTGCAGGGTGTAGCCCAACCGTTGCCCTTGCTCTTTGCTGTTTTTGGTCTTCTACTCTTCCTGCTTTCCCTAGTTTTATTTGAACATTTCATATAATTCTTTTTCCTTCTTAGCACATAAATTATATTTGTTTTAAATGTTTTTTAGTCATTGCCCTAGAATTCACAATATATATTTATAACTAATATAAATCTGCACTCATATAACACTATATTATGCTTTATGGGTAGTGTATGGCCCTTATAACAGAGTATTTCCAATTCCTCCCTCCCATTCCTTATAACAGAGCTGTCATTCATTTCACTTATCCACAAGCTGTATCACTGGATACATCATTGCTATCATTATTTTGAACAAATTTATTTATTAGATCAATTAAAAACGAAAGATCTTACTTCACCTTTATTTATTCCTTATCTGATTCTGTTTCTTTCTTTATGACAGTCTGAGTTTTGAACTATATCATTTCCCTTCTCTTTGGAAAACTTGTTTTAATGTTTCTTGTAAGGCACCTCTACTGCCAACAAAGTAACACAAAACAATAACTTTGTCTGTCAGAGAAGTCTTTATTTCTCCTTCATTTCTGAAGGATAATTTTGCTGGATACAATTTTCTAGTTAGTGATTTTTTTCCCTCAACACTGTAAGTATTTCACTTCACTTTTTTCTTGCATGCATGGTTTCTGAAGAGAAATGTGATGAGATTCTTATCCTTCCTTCTCAATTTGTAGGAAGTGTTTTTTCCCGCTAATATTTTCTAAACTTTCTCTTTGCCTTTGGTTTTCTAAAGTCTGGATGTGATGTGTGTAGGTGTAGATAATTTTTGTATTCATCCTGCTTGGTGTTCTGAGATTTCTGGGTCTGTAGTCTGCATCTGTCATTAATTTGGGGAAATTTTCAGCCATTATTAAACCAGAGAATATCAGAGAGAAAATATCTTAAAACTTACTAGGGAAAGATGAACAGAGAATGACAATTAGATAGAAGCACATTTCTTATTTAGAAATAGGTACTTGAACACAGTAAAATTGTATCTTTAAAGTATTGATAGAAAAAACCATTTTTGATAAAAATAAGCTATGATTTAAGAGTGAGGTCATACTAAAAATATTTTCAGAGAAAGACTTAGAGGGTCTACCAGTCCTTTCTAACTCTTTTAAAAAGAGCTACTAAAGCATATAGTTTAGTAAGAAAAAAAAAGAATCCAGAAGGAATTCTGGATTCTGCCAGAAGCAAATTGATAATTTATGTTTGTCAGTATGAGTCACTACATATCCTGAAGAATATCCCTCAACAGAACACAGACATTCTAAACATACATGATAATTAATACATATTCACTTGAGTGCATAGGTTAAAGTAAAAAAATTAGCAGTTGAGATCATGGTTGTGAGTGATCACAGATGCTCTGCCTGCCCTGACAGACGGTGTTTATTGAAATGAATTTGGGTTTAGTGGATTACTCGAATTAGACACAGGGCATAGGAGAGAGAGTTGGAAATGCCATCCCTCTCCCCTCATCTAGCTAAGAATCTTGTGGTATATGGCGTAATTTTCCCCAATTTTTCATCCCTCCCTATATCCATACCCTTTGCCTTGTTGAAACTGGGTGAGAGGCAATGCCCACTGAGGCAGGTTTTGGCTATGAAAATCAGGATCAGTTTATAAATTAAGTAATATTCTAGCCGACTGTCAATATATTTCATGTATTTCATATATAGTTCTCAGGGACACTCTGATCTCCTAGGTCACCAAACATCCCTGAGTCAAAATATTTTGACCACCACTAGGTGCCTAAGTCCTTTAAAAAAAAAAAATCCACCTTGTCTTTGGCAGCAAAGTGCTAAAATTTGGTCTCTGATATTTTGAAGTCTCCAATGTAATGAGGGAATCCATCTCAGTGGCAGTATCCAAAAGATCATTATTGTCTAGAAATGAAAACAAACACAGGTACTTCTAAGGATATCCTCATTAATATATACCCCAATGCCTAGTGAAGGGAGGGAAGGATATAGTTGGTATGTGTCTGTGTGCAGATTATACAGGATAAA